CGAATGTGCGCGGCGCTACGGGAAGAGCTACATTCTGAAGACCACCCGCCCTCCATCTGTGAAGCTGTCGCATTTTCAGCTTCAGAGTCCTAACTGGTGAGGAAGTCTCAGGCGAAACGCCCGGCCCGCCCAAAACACTGGCCTCGGGGTGCGACGCGGAGAAGTTTGTTATAAGGACAAGGAACGGAGGAGGAGGAAGACGAGGAGGAGGAAGAGGAGGAGGGGGGAGGAGGAGGGGTTGAGGACGAAGACGCGGAGGGAGGACGAAAACGAAGAGGTGGCTGGACAGGAGGAAAACCTAGGGCTACTTCGGGCCAGTGCCACCCTCTGGCACCACCCGAAGCCGACCTCAAAGGGGTGCGAGGTCCGCTGGCCCGGCTCTGCCTGACACCCCCTTTTGCTGGCAGTCTCGGCTGGCGGCTGCTGCGCTCCCTCGATATCCCGCCTCCCTCCTCCCTCGTCCACCTTCCTCCTCCACCTCCCACCTCCCTCCACCCTCCGCCCTCCACCCTGCACCTCCCTCCTCTTCCTCCACCCTCCTCCACCCGCACGTGCCGCCTCGCGGCCGGCACGGCAGACTGCGGTTTCGGGGTCCCGCGACAGATCGTGCAGCCCCCTGCCCGGGCGGAGTCCGCGGCGCTGTGCGGCGCGGAGTTCTTGGCTTCCCGCGAGGCTGGTCGGGGGGCGGTGCAGCAGCGCCTCGACAGGGCCTCCTACGAGGTCGCGAACATCCTCGCCTCGGGGGCCGTGCAGTCGTGGAGGTTGGGCAAAGATCAGGAGGGGAAAAAACACACAGACACAATTAATCGTCGATCCCCAGGAAAATATGGGAAAATATGGGGAGTGGTGGGGAAGACAAAAACCCAGAAAATATAGGAAAATATGGGGAATCTTTTTATTTGTGTGTATTTATTTGTGTGTCGCAATTTCCCTTTAAAAGAGGGGCCAGGTTCGCCCTCTCCAGGCCGCCCGGCTGTCGACCCGGCTGGGCACCCAACTGGTTCGGAGGAGCATTTCGGTCTCCTGCCCCGCCCGATGCCAGCCTCGGAGAGCCGCTGAGGCGGTCGCGCGCTCCCTTGGCGCGCGCGCGTGGATGCTGGATGCCGAAGGGGTCGGCCACAACATCGGGGTGGCGACGCGGCCGGGGCCGAGCACGCTTGATACCCCCGCCCACCGTCGGAGGTGGGTGCAGAAGTGGACGCGCCAGGCAATGTCAGCTTGTGATTGACAGAAGGCCGCCCCCCCGCCCCCTCCGGGGCTGACGAATAGACCTCGCGTGGCGCGAACACTTTTTTAAATCACGGGTTCCAGGGGGTCGTCGCTGGCGCCGCCGAGGGGATCGTGTACCCCCGTGCCTGACAGCTTTAAGCGATTGGGTCATACACATCTGAGGCGAATTTTGGTTCCCCCTCTCAGGCGTCGTCCTCGTCCTCGTTCAGTCGTCGTCGTCGTCGTCGTCGTCGTCGTCGTCGTCGTCGTCGACGACGCAGAGATCGGCCGTTGGAAACGGGCGCAGGCAGGGCAGGGGACAGCGGCGACGACGGCGACAGAGGGGGGGAGGAGGACTGAACGCCTCGCTCGGGTCGGACGAAAGGATGGGGAAGGAACGGGGGGTTTGCAAAGCCTGCTGCGCGCAGCTGGTTTCGGTCGCCCCGCCGAAGGGTCAGTCCTCAACGCAGGGCCGCCCTCTGCGCCGGGAGGCGCTTGGAAAATCGGCGGCGTGAGCTGCTTGGCAAATACCCCCTTTTGCGCCCAGCTTCCGTCCAGCCCGCCTTGCCCGCAGGCCCGCATCGGCTCGACAGAAAGAGGGGCGCCCTGGCTCTGCCTTGCCTCCAAACCCCCCCTTGCCCCTCGTTGGCGGCTAGGCGTCGGCGCTAATCACCGGCGCCGCCACGTTGATTTTCAATCTGGCGGGCGCCACCCCGCGATTCACCCGAGCAGGGGATTTGTTTAATATATTTTATATATATATATATACAAACAAAAAACGCGCGCCCGACACCGATTTGTTAATCAGAAGCTGACATTAGTCGACCTCCTGCTAGATGCGATGGGGGCCCGCTGATTCGCGGCGTAGCAGGTGGCCACGCTGGCGGATGATGCGGCACTACCGACGCGCCTGGATGGTCACCCGCCTCACGCTGCGACGCTTCGCATTCCCGTGGTTTTCTAGGGCATGTGTGCCGCGCCGGGCCAGGCGGACCCGTGCGCGCTGTGCGGCCAGGGTCGGGCCACGCTCCGCCATCTGCTCGCGGAGTGCGCAGCGGTGGAGGGGACCCGCGCCGACGTTTGGGCCAAAGTAGGGGAGGACGCGCTGCATGACGGCATTTTGGAATGGGCGGTGGGCGAGTCGCTGGGCCCCGGTGCCCTGGAGGACAGGGTGCGATTCGCGGGCCTCCTGTCGGGCGCTTTGGTGCATGCGTTGACGCGCGCCAGCCCCGAGTTAAAACGAGGCCCCCCCTGCTGCCTACGCGTCGCCTGGCCGAGCCCCGGTTTGCTTCGTCCGCGTCGGGCGAGAGCGACGGCCGCGGAGGTGGGCGGGCACGCTGGGCCGGGGCGCGGGCGCCCCCTCCTTCGCCCCCCTTTTCCCTCCTCCGTTGCCCTTAGCACCCTTGCCCGCCTGCCTGCCCTCCCATCCTGCTCCCTGCCCCCCGCCCCTTTCTTCCTGCCCCCCGCCTTTTCCCTCCTGGCCCATCGCCCCAGCCCCCCGCACCGCTGCCCCCCGCCCACCATCCGGTGCGGGGACGGGACCCGATCGTGGCGCAGAGGACGGTTGTCAGAACTCAGAACGCGCCCCCCGGCAACCCCGTTCTCCCCCTCCCTTCCCGTACGCTGCTTCCCCGCCGTGCCCAGGCCCCCGAGCCCGCTGGCCCCCCCTGGTCCCCCATCCTCCGCGGCCCAGCCGGCGACACTGCGAGCTCGAGCCCCAGGCCGCTCCAGCACCAGCCACGCTCAAGGCCACGCGCCGCGCCACCGACTGGCTGGGACGCCAGCGCGACGCCGCCGCGCACGAGCCCGTCGAAGTGGAAAGGAGACTTCCGCGAGCGCCGCCGCGATTGGAGTCGCCGCCGGGCCTCGCGTGACCAGAGCCGTCGCGGGCGCCGCGGGCTGCGGGGCAGCCAGTGTTTCGCCCGGTCGCGCCAGCGCGGCGAGCAGGCCTCGCAGGCTTCGGCGGGCGCGGGCCAGGCGTGCTGTGCGCACGGGCCTTTCGTCGCAGCCCGCGGGGGAAGGTGGAACCGCCGTCGTGGCGGGCGAGCCTGAGGCGGGCCCCCAGCGCCGTTCCCGCCTGGGCAGGCGGCCGCGCCGACCGTCCCGCCGGCGCCCCCGCATGCGCAGGCGCCAGCGGCCCTTGCATGCTGCCCACGACGGGACCACCCCCAAGTCGTCGCCCGGGCACCAGGGCGGCGACGACCTGGTGCCCACGGGAGGCGCTGGCGCGCGGGGCGGCGAACCGATGACCTGGGAGTCTGGCGACGGCGCCGCTGGGAAGCCGCGCGGGCCGCTGCCGCTTTGCGCCGCGGGCCCGCCCGGCAGCCCGGGCCTGCCCCGCCCCCGCTTCGCCCCGCGCCGGCGGGCGAGGTGCCGCCGCCCGTGCCTGAGGCCTGGCAGGACCCGCCGCCAATATGAGCACGGGGCTTCTCCCAGGCCTGGGTCGGGCCATGAGGGCAGCGGCGGGGCGCCAGCTCCGCCCGTCTCCGTGGGCACGGGGAGACGCGTGGGTGCGGGAGCCCGTCGTTGCGTTTAACGCGCTCACCGAAAGGGCGCCGCCGGCGTGCCCAGGCGCGCCGGCCTTCATTATCGCGTGGGGTTCTCCGAGGCGGTCCCGGACGCTGCGGCGGTGGGGGCGCGACATGCATTGCGCTGCGGGGCCCGCGGTCGCGGTCCAGACCTGCGGAGGCTGAGGGGAGGGTGTGGCGCAGGCCGGCGGTCGGCTGGGCGGCCGAGAAGGGCGGCGATGCGCGCGATGTTGTGCTGCGCCTGCACATCCCGCCGCGCCCCGACGTGAGCAGAATCACGATGGCCACGATCCTGTGGAAGCGGTCATCGGGGACCGTTCCAGAGCCCCCACGCCAATACCTTTTCATGGAGTGGACCCCCAGCGGTCTGGACCCATTCCCCGTGGCCGGTTCTTCGTCCTGAGTCGTTTCTTGACGCTCCCGAGGGCCGGCGAGGGCCCCCAGAGGCCGAACATAGTGAGAAGCCTCGCGTCGCGATTTCTCATGACTCGAGAGGGCCTGGGGTCGCCGGCCAGGGCATCAGGGCCAACCCCGCGGAGTGCGCGGGCCCGTGGACGCGCGCCTCTGGCCGCGTCGCGTCGCGCAAGGTCCTCGGCTCGAGCGCGAGCGGAGCCCAGCCCGCGGGCCCCGGCCCACGACATCGGAGGCGCGACTCGCTGGCCGCGCCCGCCCTTCCCCCCCTCCCCCCCGCCTCCCCCGCCCACGTCACAGCCCCCTCCCTCCCTGGGCAGACCCCCCCTCGAGCTATGAAAAAAGTCATGGCGGGAGGTTCTTCGCGATGTTCGGGGCCTCTGGGAGCTTTTCCCGGGCCTCGGGGCCGTCAGAAAACGAGGCAGGATGAGAAACTGGTCCCGGGGAAGGGGTCCAGACCTCTGGAGTTAGGTCGGGCCTGTCCCTCTACAGGAGGAAACTTCAAAAATAGCACAACATAGTCAGACCCACCACCAAGTGACCACCAAGTCATACCATCCCCAGTTGGGGATACACCCCCCTCGAAGCCCGCAGGGAAAGGCCCATCTCCCCGTCCAGGGGGGCAAATCGGCCAGTGGGGCCCAGGCCACGCCGCTCGGGACTGGGATCGGTCAGACGAGGCTCGGCTTCCCCGCGAGGCCGCCCCGCACACACCTCTCCGCCGGCATGGTGCGGCCCGCTCGGCCCGGGGGCTCGCGCGCGGCAGGCTGCGTATAGTATGGCCCGGGCGCGGGCCGCGCCGAGCGCGGGAGGGCACGCGCCGCCCCCAGCGGCCAGTGCGGCGCAGGGTGGGGCCCCGCGTCGGCCGGGCTCCCAGACCCCCTCGAGTAATGAAAAAACCATGGCGGGAGGTTTTTCCCAATTTTCGGCCTCCGGGGGCCCTCGCCGGGCCTCGGGGGCGTCAGAAAACGACTCGGGATGCAAAGCCGGTCATGGGGAAAGGGTCGGGGCCTCTGGGGGTCGACGCAATGAAAAGATCATTACGTCGGGGGTCTGGGCTCGGCGTGCTGGAGCGGCCGGCGGGGGAGGGGCCGCGGGGCCCGTCCGGCCGCAGGTAGCGCTGCCAGCGGGCGCCCGGAGAAGCCAGCGTCCTGTACTGTTCCATGGGCCGTCGCATCTGCACATGTGCAAGCGCCGTCGGCTGCGGCGTGTCGCCCCCCCCGCCCCTTGCCAGCCCGCCTGGGTAAGGGTGCGGGTATCTTTCGCGCTCGAGACGAGAGGCAGGGGGGCACGGCCTTCTCTGGAGTCGTGCCCTTGGCGCCGCAGGCCTCGAGACAAGACGGCGTCGTTTCGCTGCTCCTCCGCCGCCTGCTGTTCTGGCAGAGGAAGGGATCGCGGCCACTCGCAGGCCATCTTCGAGATCAGTGTCTGGGATCTTTCTGGAGCTGGAGCCTCTCAGCGCTTGTAGCGTGATGCGCATCTGTCCGCAGTGTGCAAGTTGGGATGGGTCTCGAACGCGCGCACGGCCCATGCCGCTTTCGTGGTCATTGCGGTATACCGCGCTCAAGGCACGAGCGCGCAACTGCGGGAGGAGGGAGGTCTGCGAAAAGGAGAAGTCAGGGCGTGCCTGCCCCCCAGCGTATGTCACGCGCCTGTGTCTGCCGTTCACAGTGCTTCACGTTATCCCTCCTCCAGGTGACCCCGCTAATAAGAGCGCCCAGCCTGCCTGCGCAACGTTTCCAAACATCTGTCCAGCAACGTTACGATGAGGGCTGCCATCGAGCCCGAGCCCGAGGCCAGCGGCGTGAGAAACGCATGCTCAACCTGGCACGTCCGCTCGGCCGTGGGCCGAGGCTGTGCCGAACAGTCATGCGACAGTCGGGAGGAACGTAGCACATGTGCAAACGATGCTGTTATGACGCATGTAGCTCACGATCAAGCCGATGCATACGCGTCGCATCATGTGTGTGTGCGCCACACTCGGATGGCTTGCCTTACCTGCCTCTGAGCACGTGTTGCCACCACGAACTCAGCCGGCACGTGCGGCTTCATGGGCGGGTGATCCTGGACCGGGAAGGCCTGGCTAACTGCTTGTGCGAATATCCTGACGAGGCGTCCAGGAGGGCATTGATGTCCAGGCGGGGGGGTGCCACTTTGGACCGGTGGAGAATATGCTTTTTACCTCGTCGGGGTCCTTGAGGACCTACTGACCTACTATCTAGACGTCGTAACCCAATCTCCTAGACCCTGTCCTGGCTGAACTGTTCGAGTGCAGCTTGATCGCCATAGGCTTATGGCCCTGGAAATCGGTAGCTCACCTCCAGGTCCACGAAGATATCACTCTCAGCACCAATCCTCCTCCTCCTACTCCTCCTCCTCCTCCTCCTCCTCCTCCTCCTCCTCCTCCTCCTCCTCCCCTCCTCCTCCTCCCCCTCCTCCTCCTCCCCCCCCGTCCTCTCCCCGTCTTCCTACTCCCTCTCCCCCCCATGCTCCCTTCTCTCCTCGTCCTCGCCCTTCTCCTCCGCCTCCTGTGGCGTGGCGCCCCGCCTCGAGCGCCTGGGCAGTCCTCTGCGCTGCTTTTTTGGATTGCCGCTTCTCTCCCGATGCCCCGAGGCTGGGCTGCGCCGATGCGTTGGCCCGCTTGCAGCCCGTGGCTGCATCGATCGGAGCTCTCTCTCCTCCCCCCCCTCCACCTCCTCATCCTCCTCTCCTCCTCCTCTTCCTCCTCCTCCTCCTTTTCCTCCTTCTTTCTCGCCGTCGTCGCCGTGGTCCTCCTGGACGGTAGGAGGATGCGGAGGAGGAGGGGGATGGGGGAAGGCGAGGGGGGAGGAGGCTGGGGATTGGCATAAAGGGGGAGGGGGAGGGAGAGGGCGAGGAGGGGGAGGGGGAGGGAGCGAGGGAGGAAGCGAGTGGGAGGTGGAGAGTGGCCCAGGAGTTTTCGAGATGGTCTCGAGGCGCCTCAGGGGCCCCGGGGAGTTCCAGTGGGCTGTACACTGTACGGGGTCCTACCTCCTCCTCCCTACCCCTTCCCATCGTCCTCCTCCTCCGCGTTCTCCTTGGCCCGGTCCCCCTTCGTCCGCTCTCCTCCTCATTCCTGCTGTTCCTCTTCCTCTTCCTCCACATCGCTCTTTTCCTCCATCCTTCTTCTCCATCTCAATATTCCTCGTCCCTTCTACTCCTTCGTTCCCCTCCTTCCGTTTTCTCCTGCTCCTCCTCGTCCCCCTCCTCCCATCCTCCAGCTCCATGCACCGCCAGCATTTTTCGTCCGACAAGCGGACCCATACGTGTCATCCTTGCGTGGGGGCCACGACGAGAAACAACTGCATAATTGTGTCGTCTTTCAGTCCTTGTCTCGCCATGCACATCATCAAATCGACTTGTGACATCATCATCCGTTACGTGATCTCCATTTCGGCGCGTGTCATCCTCGCCATCGGGGGGGGGGGGGGGCGCGCGGCGAGAAACCAATCCGGTCGCGCTGGGTGATTTACCATCGATGTTGTGGTTGCGCACGCGTGCTGCCCGCAGGCCCTTCCGAGTTGGTCGCCACAGCGCTAGTCGCATTCGGTCTCACGTTTCCTTGTTGTGTCTGGGAGTTGCGAAGCATAACCACGGCGGGCCGCTCCGCCCAGTGTGCCGGGCCGAGACCTCGCTGTCGTGGTGATCGTTATAGTTCTCCTTGTGATGTGTGTCATCGTTGTTATCATTGCTGTCGTTGTGATCATTGTCGGCGTTATCGTTGTCGGCATTATCGCTGTGATCGTTGTCGATGCGATCGTTATCGTTGTCGTTATTGTTGCCATCTTTGTCATCGTTGTCGTCACGGGTTCACGATACCAATCAATCAATGACGCCGTGTCCGCACGACACATCGGCTAAAGCAGTGCCGCTGGCCGGAGGCGTGTGTCCGCCATGGCAAGGGCAGTTCACAATCTGATGGTCCAGCGAAACTGGCTGCCATGGCTTATGCTGGGAGGGGAAGGGGAGGAGGAGGAGGAGGAGGAGGAGGAGGAGGAGGAGGAGGAGGAGGAGGAGGAGGAGGAGGAGGGAGGAGGAGGAGAGAGGAAGGAGAGAGGAGAACAGAGAGGAGAGGCGTCAGGCTCACCACGTGGAGCTCCATGAGCGCCGCCGACCCGTCGAGTGCGGGCGGCCCCCGTGCCTCCCCGGCCCTGCCTGCATCAGGGGGCAGGCTGCCCCACGCCACCGTGCGGGGCACACGGCGCGTGCTACAGTGAGCGGCTTGAAAAAGGGTCCCGTACGTGGACAATATATTCGAACCCTTACACATTTGAGGAAGATTCTAAATCACCCCCGCGCCCCCGACATCAGTGTTGATCTCAGTAGAGGCGGTGCTTGGGGGTTCGAATATTTCTGTCCACTCACGCCCCCCCCCGTCGCCACGCCATCAATATTAATTTCGGGGGTCTGGGGGGCATCTTGGGCCACAGGGTTCGAATATAATGTCCATGTACTGGTCCCTTCCTTTTCAAAAGGGGCTCGGTCGTTCCTTCGGTTTGCATGCGTGGTTTATCGCTCCGTGTGCGTTGGTTGTTATATGATCGTTCCTCATGCGTTATTCCTTGGAAGAAAGGGGCTTCGTTCCTTAATTGTTGACGATTCGCGAATCCCCACCAGCCCATCCAGAAACGATGCCCAGAGGAATTGCCTCGATCAGGGAAGTGGGCAGCACACAGAGGAAGCCATTATGAGACATCTTGGGATATCTTGGGCCATCTTGGAGGTCATTTTAGGCTCTCCCAGGCGCTCTTGATCTTAATCAGTGCCCCCCCCCCCCCCAAGAGGCCAACATGTGGCTAAAACCTTCGTGAAATCGATGATTTGGCATTCTCGCCGAGGCCTCTTGGAGCATCTTGGGTGCCTCTGGGGGGTCTCTTGGGGCCTCTTGGGGGTCTCTTGGGGGCCTCTTGGGGCCATCTTGGGGCCATCTTGGGACCTCTTGGGGCCTCCTGGGCGCTTCTTGGGGCCATCTTGGAGGAGATCGATCAAACAAGAGGGGAGCTTCAATTAGGGTCCCCTCCTCAGGAGGCCAAAATGGGGCCAAAACCATAGTGAAACTAATGATTTTGGCTTCCTCGCCGAGGCCGTCTTGGACGCCCTGACACCTCGCGAAACCCCCTGTCCAGGTCCAGGGGAGGGGGTGGGGGGAGGGGTAAGCCCCTCCCCGAAGGGGAAGAAGGAGGGGTGGAAGAGGAAACTCTCCAAACCGCCGACGCCCGGAGGGCTGGTGGGATTTCTCGTTCCTTAGGTCAGGCCGATGACTGCACCGGGCATGGGTACCCTGGCCCGCCCCGACGGGCCCCCCCGTGGCCCTCGGGGGGCCAGGCGACGACGACTGCTGGCGACCGACGACCGAGGACCAGTGACCAAGACGACGACGACCGACGACGACGGCGGCGGCGACGACGACGACGACGACCACGGCGATGACGACGATGACGACGACGGCGATGACTGGTGACGACGACGACGACCAGGGACGACGACGACTGCTGGCGACGACGACCGGTGGCGACGACGACCGACGACCAGTGACCAAGACGACGACGACCGACGACGACGACGACGACGACGACGACGACGACGACGACCACGGCGATGACGACGATGACGACGACGGCGATGACTGGTGACGACGACGACGACCAGGGACGACGACGACTGCTGGCGACGACGACCGGTGGCGACGACGACCGACGACCAGTGACCAAGACGACGACGACCGACGACGACGACGACGACGACCACGGCGATGACGACGATGACGACGACGGCGATGACTGGTGACGACGACGACGACCAGGGACGACGACGACTGCTGGCGACGACGACCAGTGGCGACGACGACCGACGGCCAGTGACCAAGACGACGACGACGACGACCACGGCTATGACGACGACGACCACGGCGATGGCGACGACGACGACGGCGATGACTGGCGACGACGACGACAACGACGTCGACGACGACCAGTGACGACGACGGCGATGACGACGACGACGACGACGACGACGACGGCGATGACCGGTGACGATCACGACGACGACCAGTGACGACGACGACTGCTGGCGACGACGACCGGTGGCGACGACGACTGATGACCAGAGACCAAGACGACGACGACGACGGCAACGACGACGATGACCACGACGACGACGGCGACCAGTGACGACGACGACTGCTGGCGACCGACGACCGACGACCAGTGACCAAGACGACGACGACGACGACGACGGCGACGACGATGACGACGACGACGACGACCACGGCGATGACGACGACGACGACGACGACGACGACGACGACGGCGATGACCGGTGACGACGACGACGACCAGTGACCAAGACGACGACTGCTGGCGACGACGACCGGTGGCGACGACGACCGACGACCAGTGACCAAGACGACGACGACGACGACCACGGTGATGACGACGACGACGACGACGACGGCGATGACCAGTGCGGACGACGACGACCAGTGACGACGACGACTGCTGGCGACGACGACCGGTGGCGACGACGACTGACGACCAGTGACCCAGACGACGACGACGACGACCACGGCGATGACGACGACGACGACGACGGCGATGACCTGCGACGACGACGACGACGACCCGTGACGACGACGACTGCTAGCGTTGACGACCGGTGGCGACGACGACCGACGACCAGTGACCAAGACGACGACGACGACGACCACGGCGATGACGACGACGACGACGGCGATGACCGGCGACGACGACGACGACGACGACGACGACCAGTGACGACGACGACGACTGCTGGCGACGACGACCGGTGGCGACGACGACCGACGACAAGTGACCAAGACGACGACGACGACGACGACCACGGCGATGACGACGACGACGACGACGGCGATGACTGGTGACGATGACGAAGACGACCAGTCACGATCACGACTGCTGGCGACCGACGACCGACGACCAGTGACCAAGACGACGACGACCGACGACGACGGCGGCGGCGACGACGACGACGATGACCACGGCGATGACGACGATGACGACGACGGCGATGACCGGTGACGACGACGACGACGACCAGAGACGACGACGACTGCTGGCGACGACGACCGGTGGCGACGAAGACCGACGACCAGTGACCAAGACGACGACGACGACTGCTGGCGACCGACGACCAACGACCAGAGACCAAGACGACGACGACGACGACGACGGCGACGACGACGACGACGACGACCACGGCGATGACGACGACGTCGACGCCGATGACCGGTGACGACGACGACGACAACGACCAGTGACGACGACGACTGCTGGCGACGACGACCGGTGGCGACGAAGACCGACGACCAGTGACCAAGACGACGACGACCGACGACGACGGCGGCGGCGACGACGACCACCGCGATGACGACGACGACAGCGGCGATGACGGGTGACGACGACGACGATGACGACGACCAGTGACGACGACGACTGCTGGCGACGGCGACCAGTGGCGACGACGACCGACGGCCAGTGACCAAGACGACGACGACGACGACCACGACCACGGCCATGACGACGACGATGACGGCGATGACCAGCGACGACGACGACGACGACGACGACGACTAGTGACGATGACGACGGCTGGCGATGACGGCCGGTGGCGACGACGACCGACGACTAGTGACCAAGACGGCGACGACGACGACGGCGACGACGACGACGACGACCACGGCGATGACGACGACGGCGACGACGACGACCACGGCGATGACGACGACGATGAAGGCGATGACCAGTGACGACGACGACGACGACGACGACGACGACTAGTGACGATGACGACGGCTGGCGATGACGACTGCTGGCGACGACGACCGACGACCAGTGACCAAGACGACGACGACGACGACGACGGCGATGACCAGTGACGATGGCGTCGACGACCAGTGACGACGACGACTGCTGGCGACGACGACCGGTGGCGAAGACGACTGACCGGTGACGTGCGGTGAGGGCGACTACCGACCGGTGGCGGAGACGACCGCGGTGGAGACGACGACCGGTGATGACGACGACCGGTGGCGGAGACGACCGACGACTGGTGACGACGAAAACGACACATGGTGACGTCTACCACGCCGACGACGGCGTCGACCACGACGACCAGTGGCGACGAGCGCCGACGACCAGTGGCGACGAGCGCCGACGACCAGTGACCACGACGACGACGACCAGTGACGACGGCGACGACGACGACGACGACGACGACGGCGACAACTTCGACTGGTGGCGACGACGACCAGTTACGACGACGACGACGACGACGACGACCGGTGACGCCAGCGACGAC